TCCCCTTACACGCTGCTCCGGGGACACCACGGAAGCGTTGGCCTCTCCCCATTGCCGCCGGTTCCCGTTCCCCTAGTGTTTGCCCGAGGTCTCCCTTCTCCGGTCCCTGGGTTCCAGGGTCCTCCACTCCCGAGCTCGGTCCACATCCTGCGTTTGTCGCTCGGCCAGACCGGTTTGATTCCCCCTCCCCCGCCTACTTTGCTTGGTGAAGTAGACCTTTTCCCCTCAAGCTACACTTGGATGGCTGAGTTCTGTCATCCCCCTCCTCCACACCCTGTCACCTTTCGCTTATATCGTGGCCATCACAAAGTTCAGTTTAGCATCTGCCTTGATTTGCCTAAGGCCCCCTTGCTACTCTCAGTGGAACAGTTTTTTTTTTTCTTCTTGGACCTGAAATGGAAGTAGGGCAACAATGATGAGCCAATCAATTTCCCTTTTCTAGTGCCTAATGTCCATTGCAAAAAGCAGACTTTTTGAAGAAGTAGAGGTAGCCTTTACTAGCAGTACTTTAAGGGGAGGAAATAATTTGTTGCAACTAGGTACTTGACCCAAGTTAACACAGGTGTAGTATACTGTACATGCAGGTGTAGGCACCATTGAACATAAAATAGTGAAGCTTGTGGATTTAATGAAATATCTTCTTAGAAGCGGTTCACTTTTAAGTCCTGTGAGGATCTTGGTGTCAGGGATGAGTATGGGCATCCTTGTGGGTTGAACTGAGGATAGGAAACAGTTTTAATGGGGCAAGAGGAAGTATTCCCATATGAGCCAAAAGCGAAATTAAAACATTTGTAAATGAGTTGTCTCTTATTGTGGGAAAAGTGATGATAAAGGACTGTACTTGCTTTTCCAAATCCTTGGAACTTGATTAACATTGAAGAATTTCATACTTAGGTGTTTGTACTTAATCTAAGCTCAGAGCCTGGTGTATGATATGTCTGGTAAATACTTGTTGGTTGGTTGTAACTTCTGAACTACTTATTTCTGGTAGTTTGAAGTTTACTGTGTATTTCTGAATTCTATAGATTTTTCATTCCTTGAGTTAATTTCATTCTTGGAAATGATGGTTATACGCTTTTGCTGTCACTTAGCAGTATTAGTTTAAAGAAAAAAAGACTTAAAGGAGAAGTTATATTTTTACTTTACATGTGATATTTTGGTGGGAACAATTATCCTGTAATAAGTTTTTGGTGGTGTCGCTGTGTAATATTTTATGATATAATCTATGATCTTTTTTTTTTATTTTGAGTTGTTGTGTTACTCTGTCTCCCAGGCTGGCGTGCAATGGTATGCTTATGGCCACCACAGCCTTGACTTGCTGGGTTCAGGTGATCCTTCCGCCTCAGCCTTCCAAGTAGCTGGAACTTCAGGCACACGCCACCATGCCCGGCTAATTTTTTGATTTATTGTCAAGATGAGATCTCACCGAGTTGCCCAGGCTGGTCTCAAACCTCTGGACTCAGGCAATTCTCTCACCTTGGTCTCCCAAAGTACTGGGAGTATAGGCATGAGCCACCGCGCCTGAGAAAGATGATCTTTTTATTAAACTTGGCTTAGGTTAGAACGTTTTTTGAAGAGTTTTAACATACTTTCACTTAAGCTCATTAGTGTCTGCTAGTAAAATGATAATGTCTTGATTTGGAAAGATGGAACTTTCTAAGCTTGTGTATTTTAATGCAAATTCATACTTCAGTGAAATATTTTAAGAGGAGGTCAGTAATAATATGAAGTAAGCTGTACCTTTGTGCTTTGAGTGTGTACACTAGACGGCTTGTTAGCAGCTGAGCCAGGGTTGCAGCCTTGGCAGTTGTTACCTAGCCCATTCTGTTAACCTGTACTCTGGATTGCCTCTCCAAAGTAAGGCAAATAAGTATACTTGAATCTTATCTATTGTTTTTAGTAGTAGTTTGATAGATTAGGAAACTGAAGCCCAGAGACTTGTCCAAGGTCATTCAGTATTAGTGACAAAGTTGAAACAGAAATCTCATCTCCTGACAGTACAGAACTCTGACCATTTTGCTCAGCTTCCTTTCTCTGTAGCTGTTTTCAGCTCTCTTGATGGATTTTAAAACATGTTGCTTCCTTTTGTAAACATTGTCAGTAGTTAAACTGAAAATTACCATTACGTGAGGAAGACTTTTTGCTTTACCTTTGCTTTTCTCTTTCCTTTAAAAAAAAATGTCTTTTAAGCTTTGTAAAACAGTCATATTTTGAAATATTTTAGATATAAAATTTTACTCAATATTGGTTACTAAAAAATTAATGTGGGACTTCTTTTTGCTGTTTATGTTAGTGCTAACTTAGAGCAGCAGGTTTCAGGGGATGTGATTTAATTCATGTTGGGTCTCAAAATGTATAATGATGAACTGTGCTATGAAAGAACACCTGTCTTTATGTTAGTCATGCTCAGCAAGCATTTATTGTGCTCAGAAGGTGGTGAGTTGTACTATGTGGTTGGTTTCTTTACATCTCAACATTGAGGTAGGTGATGTTATCTCCATTAGCCAATGAGGAAATACGTTGAGAAAGTTAAAATAGCTTGCTTAAAATCATATAACAGATGGGAGAGTCAGGAATCACACTTCTTATTCCAAATTATATTTTGTTTTTGTGGCTCAGTATGGAATGCATCATTAGTTTTCCCTGTAGCTGATAGCATCGGTACACTATTTTTAGTTTTTTTTAAAAAACCAAGGTGGGGATACTAAGTACATAGATACATAATGATAACAGTAATGATAAACTTTCATATGAAACTTTTAAGTTTAGCATTTTGGCAAAATGTGTCTTTCATTGAAACCTGTTTAGAAACGAGAAGCCACGCAAGTGATCAACTAAAGTCTATTTTCAGTTAAGCTAAAATGGAAAATCACTCAATTGAGTAAACCAGTATGTACCTTGAACTTTGAACTGTGAAATATGATAGATGAGTGTGAATTGAAAGTTCCACCCTGGTTTTACAGTTATGAATTTAAGTTTTTTGGCTTCAATTTGTATTTCTTTAATCCTAAATACAATTGAAATTTTTAGAAGACTTGCAAGTCATATTTATGTATTTGTGTTTTTTACATTTTCCATATAGGGATTGAGTATTTATTTTAATGTTTAGATTTTTTTTTCTCCTTCTGCTGTCTTTGCTCCTGTTAGGACTTCCTACTCCTAATATTTCTTCCACATTTGGCAAAAAACTTGTCATAGTATACATGAAAATTATTTTTTTAATCCTTGCCCACTCACACTTCATCCCTTCTTTTCTTTTTCTTTTTTTTCTAACAGTAAACTTAATATTTCAAAATTAGGGAACGGCATGTTTTTTTTTTAACTGAGAATTTGTTTCAATTAATCTAAATTTTTATAGCATTAGAATATAATCAAATATTTATCAATTAATTTTCATTAAATACTTTAAAACTTTTCTTGATACTTCAAAAACTATGAGGATTATGATTCTGAGCATTATTACAGATAATTAAAGGTAGGAAATGTAGGAAAATGTGCTGACACACTGTGACATACTCTGGAGGTTGTTTTTATATAAAAACCAATTATCAACTTGTTACTTGTCCTGTGCTTTTAAAAATAGTGAATACAAGTTGTAGTTATTTAAAGTTATTAGTTGTTTGGGCTATTTGTAAATTTGGGGCATTAAGTGAGTGCTAAATAAAAATAATTTATATTTGTGTTAAGTTACTTCCATACAGACTTATTTGATTTTTAGATATTAATGCTAATTCTCGAGTTAACATATGATACAGATGGGAAAAGGCATAAACAGCAGCACTTTTGGAAGTTACAGGTTAATAGCTGTTAAGGAAGTAAAAAGCTTGTGATTTAAATAAATTCAGAGGATATATGCCTAAAGAAAATTAAATAGGTTTTTTTTTTTCTGGAGGACTTCCAATAACTTTTGAATGGCAGTTTACTCTCAAAGAAGGCAATACAGTTTGTAGCATATTGCAAAGTTGTTAAACTATGGAAATGAATAGAATTTCTTGTATTTTGCTTAGGGAAATCCTAAGATATACTGATGAGTTGTGCTTTAAGAAAGGATCTCTGAACTTCTAGGGCTCTTTTGAATGCACACATACACATACACAGACAGAGTTGGCTTGTCCATAAGTGTTTAGTAAAATGTTATGACTTGGTTTTGTTGATTAATATATTTATAATAGAAAAACTCTTGGAGTGGATTGCTCCTTAAATGATGTAAGTGATTTCTTTGATTATTAATGACACTGCAAAGGCTACTAACCAGAGCAAGAACTCCATTAGTCCATTGGCATTCAAAAGGGTGTTAAGAGGTAGGAAAGGGATTTTCCAAGGGGAGTGAAAGAACATAATTATTTTAGAT